ATTTATTTTTTGCTCCATGGCCATCGAGACGCGCGGACTCCGGAACTAGATCGCTGGATTTGAGAGTGACAGCGTTCTCTGGTGGGTGGCTTGCTTGCCCCTCCTCCTTCGAGGCTTCGCTGAGCGAAATATGGAGTCGCCGCCAGATCACACCGTCTCAATCGCGATATGGTGCGCGAGAGCGGGATACGATACGATCATAGCGGCCGAAAATCACAAGGATGGCCTGCGTATGCCCGAGCTGTCTCCCAGCCGCCTGGGGTGTACGGAGCCGCGTGGTCCGGACGATCCGGAGCGCTCTCCGGATAAACCGATGTGTACCGAGCTTGGGCAGAGCGGGCACTTATCTCCGACGTCGAAGGTCCGAACGGAACTTGGTCGAACGAGTGCTGTTTCTTCGGTCGGTCGGTCTGGCTCGCCGCCGATATGAAGAGAGAGAGCGAGCGCGTTGACTGCAACACTTCTGTGCGTAATAGCGACTCCGTGTAGCTCGAGGATTACGTCGACGGCGTCGTAAAACGTCAACACTACTTCCGTAATAATACAAGTTCCGGAAGGCTCTCAAGCAAAGCTGTTGTGTTAGGGTTGTTATTGTTGTTCGAGCCGCTGGCTTGTGGAGGTGCTACCGACTGACTGACTGACTGACTGAGACCGCTACAGCTGGCTCAGAGGCTTACGACATTTTTTTCCGAGAACAGCTCTATATGAGCAGAGCTCCCGAGGAGACGACGAGGGGCATATGAAATGCTTGCTGGAGAAGCAAAATATGACATGGGGCGAACGGGCGGAGGAGGAACACATCATGCATCGAGGTGGGAGGGGCCAAGCCTGCTTCAACTCACACCCTACCGAGCGAAATATGAGGAAAACTCGTTATAATGCCCTCGAGTTCCCCACAGGCGAGCCGCTCCCCGCGGAGATATTCCGCTGCATTATGCGATACCCGTTTATGGGGAGGACTTTTCAGTGAGCAGTCGTGCTCATGGCGTTCTCACCGACATGGCGGACACTGTCCGCAAAAATGGATTTGAATATATTCCGAAAAAAATCGCCGATACGAGGAAAGGTTCTTCGAGGGATGGAAAAATAACTCCTAGCCTGACTTGGCGATTATTCTCTGCCTGAAGAGATCTTACTCCCGGGGAGCTCTGGGAGCGAACTGGATCCTGGAGAGCTTCCAAGAACTGCGATCGCAATACGAGAGTTTGCCGTGCTGCTTGGTACTCATGTGCGTGATCTCCGAGTTGGAACTCCTGCACCTCTTCTAGTTTTTCGGCTATTCCGAGTCTTTCTTGCAGTTTCATTCTCGTTCCGGTGTGCATTTGCGAGATGGGAGTCGGGACGGACGGACGGACGGACGGACGGACTGACTGACTGGATGGGCGCTCGCTCGCTGGCTGGCTCACTTCGGTGTTCTTCTTTCGTTCCCTCGTCGCCTGTCTGCTTTTCCTTTTGCCGGGCGGCTGGCTGGCGGGCGGGCGGGCGGGAGAGCAGCCATCTTTCAATATCCCCTCCGTGCTCCATGGTTCGTTCTCCCCGATCCATTGCAGTGCAGTTTTGTTCCCTTTCCTCGTCTCCTTTTTCCTTTCTGCTCCCATTTCATAAACACTCTCTTCCTCGTAGTCCTTCTCTTCTTCATCTTCGTCCTGCTCGGAGCCCACCACCACCGCTATCACCGCCATAGTTACCACAGCTACCGCCAGCGCAGCGGTGTCCCTTCCGCAAGGACCGTCGTCGACCCTCGTCGGCGTTCCCTCACTCCGATCTTTTGTCGTGGGGACCATTAGGGGACCGAATGGGGCTCGCGGAGGTATCATCGGGGGAACCGCGGCAATCGGCCTGGGAGAAAGCGGCGGAAGTGTGGGGGCGATCGAGAGTAATAGTGACTCCTCAGACACCGACCTGTGTCCTCGAATTTCGACCGGGGCTCGGCTCGCAGGTATATCGATTCGGGATTCGCCGCTGTCCAGCCGTAAACTCACCGAGAATCACTTCTGGCAGACTGCTCCATCGCGAAGATCTCCATTCTTGTCGAGAGGGGTACTGGCTCTCCGCGTCGGCACCGACGTTTCCCTCAACGCGAAACTCATCTCTCTGCTTCGCTCTGAGTGAACCGCGTAAACGTGCGCCGTCTTGTGGAGTTTAAATGGGGGAGCGGAGGAGGGCAGAGCATAGAGCCAGCTCCGCAATCGGAGTTTGCAGGAAGATGGCGAATGGCCATGCAACTCTTCGAGACAGGTCCTCCCGGAGTCCGGTGGAGGGCCGTCCGCTCACTTGCGCATTCTGCCGAGCCTCCCAGAGAGTTCCCCTCGAGCTCCTGAACGAAAGACAGAGGAGTCGATAAAGCTCCTGGGGAGGCTTAGTCTCACTATATGAGGTCCCTGAGCTGTAATTGAGAGATTTTGATGGGCGACACCGTTTGCCGCCTATAAGGTCAAGCGACAGAAAGGCTGAAATTCTAGAGGAAATTATCCTATCTCCCGATGATCACCGCCGCCAGCTGTGACACGTCGTAAAGCAATTCTATCCATGGATGTTCTGTACGCCGGCCGGCTCACTCACCGAATTGTTCCCCGTTTTGAATATAACTCGCAGATTGTGCGCTGTCTGTGCACGCAAGACAGACTTACGTACGCGATCGGACAAGCGACCAAACGACCGGACGGACGGAGGGCCGGACCTTATCGCGCCGCAGTCATCAGTCATAGGCCGGCTTTGCTAGCGTGGTCTCCGTGTGTCGTAAACTGTGCTGTTCAACAAACGGGCATACGGCGGGTCGGTCGGTCGGAGGCACAGACGGATCCTCGACCAGCCGAGTATCCAGCTGGACAACTCCCGGGCCTGAGCCCGAGACGATCGATTGATGACAGGCACATATTATCATCGTCGGCATGACTCATTGGAAAATGTCGATTTCCAAGTAATAAATTGATGGCGGAATCACGACGGCCTTTCTGACGCACCATTCGATCCACGCTCATTGGGAGCTCCAGCGCGGTGTGCCTATTCTCGATGGAGGGAGAGCCGCGTCGCGGACATGATCGCCGCCTACGTCGGATTTCCGGAAAGAGGCCGCCGTGTGGGTGGTTTGCCTGTCGCTTGGCAAGTGTCTGCCTCAACGCATGGCTGACTACATGGCAATTCGAGTTCAGGATGGCGCTACGCGATCGATGAGCGCCTTCGTCGTCTGTACCTCCGACTGAGCTTCGGATATCGTCACGATCGGATCGGACGCGACGACATCTCTCGTTGAGGGGCAGAAGTGGAACCACACGCTTCGTATTGGGAGCCATATCGGAGACGCAGCCGGCGCGGATCATTTCTGAATGTAGTCCGAGATCCGGCTGAGTTCCGGAAAAATTTCCGAGAAAAAGCTCGGGATAGGTTCGACTGGAAGCTCTGCTCTCGCAGGCGGCGGGAACGTCGAGAGGAAGTTGTGAAAAAATACGTTTTCCTTGTCCTGCTGGCTCTGTGCAGCTATCGGACCAGACTTTTGGCTTTCATTGAACATCGGCCGCTTCATTGAGGCCTCCGGAGGCCGTCGCGAGATGTCGTAATAAAATTTTATACAATTTGAAGATAATCCTGAGAGTCTTCGTTGGCTTCGTGGTCGTTGTGGTCGACGCGATGCCTGTCGCCAACGTCGGATCCGACAGCGAGAGTGCTTAAGAGACCGAAAAGGGAAAGCCGAGCAACGCTTCCTCAACCAAAGCTCGGCGGGGTTGAGGTCTAAACGAGGCTGGCCGAATTCCCTTATCAGTATCGTATGGCCTCTTCGGGCAGAAGAGCAAGGCACGGCAGATGTGACAGCGGGTAAAACTTAAAAGCGGTCGAAGACCGCCTAAAAAAAAGATAACTGGGACAGAAATTATGTGACTTTTGAAGCGACGCCCTCTGGTCACCATCCCCGTTCGTTCGTCGGTCGACAGACCTCTCGAGCGCCCAGAGCGCTCGCCTTCAATAGGAGCCGAGTACCTGATAATCGCGAGCACGGAATACACACAGTCTCGGATTAAGGAGAGATATGTCCTACATGTTGCTCTGAAAACTCAGAGTCCAATTAGGACAAGCTGAGTCGAACATGTGGATGGGCCATCCCACGCGCTCCCTGAACTTCACATTGCAATTCCATTTCGATAAACTCCATAAATTCATAGACAGTGACAGCAACAGCTTTCAGACTAATGTATCTGAGTTTCGCTCTCATGGGTCCCGCAGAAACTGCCGCCGGCTGGTTTCTTACCGCTTGCGCCGCACGATTCATTTCGACCGGAATCCGAATTTCGGACTCGACAAAAAAATTCGAATCCCTTCCTATATCGGTGCCAGCGGTGGTGCTCTTATCGAGATGCACAGCGGCTCGGGACCTTTCGCTCTTAAATCAGCCGGCGGCGGCGGCTGCATTAAGTGCCGAAAGGTTCGTCGCCGAGCGCGCAACAGAGGAAGAGGCAGACGGAGCGGGAAAGCAGAATAAAACGAAGCAAGAATCAGTGTGCTGTTAACGGATGAGCTCTCTCATGGTCAGATGCGTTACGTTTGTCGTTATCTCCGGCCCGCCTAGTGGTGGGGCCATATTTCTGTCGGGCCAGTGTTTATTAGCTATAGCTAATATTCAATGATAATGCCAGAGACTGATAGCTTTCGAGATAAGCGATAAAAAGCGAGCTAGAAAAATCGAACGACCGACTGAGCCAATTAAGCTTCCTCATTGGCGGAGAGAGACCGACCGACCGGACGAGTGAGAGCATCTCCCCATCCATCGAATCGCGCCGCGGATAAACAATCAGCGGCTCGGAGGTGAGATCGTACGTCTCGAATGTCGGCGCCGAACACCTCTGCTCAAACAAAAGAACGTAGTCAGCTGGGTCTATGGATGAACGTGTTTGATGGTGGAGGGCTCGATAGTGAGTGAGAATGATGGACGCCGGTCATCCGGTAAGATCAGAGCGGAACGTTGTCGGGAAACATCAAGAACTGACACTCTCTCATTCGCTTTACAGATGAAGCTGAAGACACATCACAAGACGCTCACGTCTGTGGTAAGTGTCGACGCGAATTTCTCGAGCTCAACGAGTTCCTACTGCACAAGAGAGCTTGCACCGGCATTGGACCCCCTCAGCAGGAGGACAGCAAGTCGGGTAGGCGAATTTTCCGGGCACTTATTTCCCGTTTCGGAACCGAGTCGCATGAGGAAGCTTTCGCGAGGAAAAACTTAGGAGAAATTCCTCCGAGCCCGGTGCGAAGTTTCTGATAGGGAGACTGTCGCAGCGCTCGTCATGTTTCGAGATAGCGATACTTGGCCGATGTCTAGAACGAGGGAGGGGGAGGGAGATTGGGAACGCAGTTCGCGCCCGAAGTATGCTAAATTCCCTCGCTCTAATTGGTGCATGGTGGTGATGAATAAGTGTCGACAGTGGCGCGTGGCTCCGGCAGGGGATTTACTAGATTGGCCTGATCTTCATTTTAGGCGATGGCGAGCTCCCCCCAACTCACGTGACCCTCGAAGCGCTCCGGGGAACTAGAGTGGCAGTCGCTCAGTTCAACACCCAATCTTCCAACGATGCTCCAGCAACCCCGGCGCTACAGGTAAGCCTCGCGATTCACTTGACGAGAATTCGACTTCAGAACCCAGCTGACCGAGAGCCGGTTTTCGAAGCTTCTCGTGACTCCGGCGAAAAATCCGAGAATAACAATGAGTTTGGTGTTAACAGGATGCACTAGTTAGTCTTCGTCAACAACAAGCGGTTCAACTGCAGCTCTTCCAACAACTGGAAGCGTACGTTCGGAACAACGTCGGTGGACATCCGTTGACGGCCAGCTTGGAGAGACCCGATTCGCCGAAGGTACAGCCAGCCGATACAACAAACCAGGAAGAGCTGGACGACGAGCGCGCAGCTGAAGATCCTCGAGCCGCAACGAGCGAAAGCGAAGCCGAGGATCGCTCCAAAAGCCCAAAGATCAAGTCCGAGCAGGGTCCAGGTGGCCCTGTGAGTGTTCTGTGCGCTCCTCTGCCACCCGATGCTGCCCCTGAGGTGACTCCAAATGCGCCGAATACTTTGGAGCTCCTGCAGAAACACACCGAGAAAGCTCTTCAGAACACGATGTCCGGAGGCTCGTTCCTACTCAACGGCCTCGGCGCATTTCCGGACGAAGCCAACGGGGACGGTAGACGAGGGGAGGGAAAAGACAATTATTTCAGGTACGTTCAAGGCTCACGCTTTTTTGCGGGCTGACCATTTCTGTCAGGAACGGGGCATGGTCGAATTGTCTAACCAGTGATCCCTCCAGGCACCGATGCCGTTTCTGCGGCAAAGTATTCGGTTCGGACTCCGCGCTGCAAATCCACATTCGCTCGCATACCGGAGAGAGGCCGTTTAAGTGTAACGTTTGTGGAAATCGATTCTCCACCAAGGGAAATCTTAAGGTGCACTTCCAGCGGCACAAAGCCAAGTATCCGCATGTTAAGGTGAGTCACCTTTCGGCTACGAATATCGATTTCCAGCTCGACTGCGGCTGGAGTCCGCGACGAGCTCGAACTCATGTACGACGCTCCGATATACAGATGAATCCACATCCGGTCCCGGAGCATATGGACAAGCACTATCCGCTTCTGGAACCTCCCGGAGAGCGGGTGTCGCCCCCACCGGGTCAACTACCCCTGGGCCCATTACCGCTCCTGTCGACCGCTGGAAACGCACCGCTTCCCCTGGATGAGAACGCTCGGTTTAGACTGAGTCTCGGATTAGCAACTCCTCACTCGGGTAAGCTGAGAAACTCAGATCCTTCAACGTTCACGTCGGACCGGGGGCTCGAGGTTGTGATCGCGGCGATCGATGAGCACATCCCTAATCCGACGATGTGTTTTTCCAGCGGCGAAATCATTATTAGCAGTTAGCGGCAACGGAGGAGACCTTCGTTTGGCTCCGGCCGCTACATCAGACCTCCGGCTGCGCTCCTTCCCCAGCACGGAACGATCCGTCGAAAACGCTACCAATAATCCTCTCGCGGAAAATGTCCTCCTGCCGGGTAACTCGGTATCGGCGCCTGGACTGTGGCAGTTAGCGAAGGAACTTCAGAAAAGTAGAGAGAGAGTGTTTGGCTTGGCAGAATCGGCCAGTAGCAATCACGACGAGGAAGAAGAAAGCAACGCTAGTGACAGGTCGCACGACAACGGTGAGTGGTGCTCGTAGTTCGGTCTGTTTTGAGTGCGGAGGCAAAGGAACGGCGGCGCCGCGCCGTCGAGCGAACCCATCATAACGCGGGAATTTTCTCTCTCCGCCCATACAGCCAATCGTGAACTTAATCTGAGTGCGAGCCCCGCGCCCGTGCCTGCGCCCTCGAACAGCCTTAAAGACCCCATGAACGCCCAGGAGCCAAGAAGCAAAAGACTCCCTCTGGCAGATGAAGAGGAGAAACTTGATCGCGTGGAGCCCATCGAAAAGCGAAGGCGCACCGAACAAGACATAAGTTCCGATTCGGCGCTCGTCCAGGGGCAATCCGTTTCGGACAAGTCAGAAATCTCTGAATGCGACGACACCGGGATGTCGGGAATCGTCGTTCAATCTCCGGACGGAGATGCCCCTGCTGGTTACGAGTCGTGGGAAGAACTAATGGAGGTTGCCACAGACACTGAATCGGGAATCCAGAAATTGGTCGAACTCTCCGCCCAAAACGGCGGCGAGCCGAACCAATGTGTCATATGCCAGCGGGTACTCAGTTGCCGAAGTGCGTTACAGATGCACTATCGAACTCATACAGGGGAAAGACCCTTCAGATGCAAACTCTGCGGAAGGGCTTTCACCACGAAGGTACGTCGATTTTTCGCATGTCCCCAGCTGTCGTTCCGCGGCTGGAGCGTTTTCCCCCGAGAGCTCTCTCCCATTCTCGCCGCCCAGCCTTGTCGCTCCGTCAGACCGGGAGGTGGGGATCCGAGCCGGATCCCCCGAGATTTTTTCGCAATGAGTAATGGGCGAAGTTGACGCAGTTTTCCCGCTCGCAATTCCAGGGTAATCTGAAAACACACATGGGCGTACATAGAGTCAAGGCCCCTCTTAGAGTAATGCATCAGTGTCCTCTTTGCTCCAAGCAGTTCACCAACTCACTCGTGCTCCAGCAACACGTTAGGAGTCACAATAACAACACCGACTCCACAAACAGCACAAGTAAGTTCTCCACGACTTCGGAAGGCTACTCGGGAGGTCTTCCCCTTTGTGGAATTTCGAGGCTGACGGAGTTTTGATTCCTTCTCGAAGCAGGTCAACCTCAGGACCTCAGCTGCACATCTTCCCCAGGTCAGGGGCTTTCTCCTCGCGCTACTCCTTCCCCCCAAAGGCAGTCTCCGCCAGTGACTCCGAATTCCCGAGCGTCGTTGGACAACCCAGAGTTGTTCCCGTCTCGATCCCCTGGGGCGAGCGAGCTCAACATGGGCAACGATGACGGATCGAGGTCTTCACCGGACATTCGACCCGAGGTTACGTTCAGAGAGGGCGAACCCGACCTCTCGGAACCCAATTCCTTGGGAAGACTCAACAGTTCTCCTCTAAGTCATCCTGGTGTAGTCCCACCAGAGGCTCTCGCGAATTTCATCCCCGATCTGACAGCTAGCAGGCGAAAAGCCACGATCGAAGAGCTGAGACGAAATTCTCTAAATCCTAGTGAAAAAGCCGAAAACAACGGACCTTCGGACCGACACGATGCTCGTCCGGAGAACGGCGGAGAGAACGGTTTCAGCAAGAACACGCTTGCCATGCCTTTACTGTTGACTGGGGGGACCTCGTTGGCCGCGCTGGAGTCGTTGACAAATGGAGCGCAGGGACTTGGCGGGATCGCTTTGGGGCTCATGGATGGCCGGATGAATGCCGGCAATAATAATTCAGCGACAACAGCGGCGTCCGATCGACGCCGTTCCTCGCCCAAGCAGGATCCAGTGCTCGATCTCTCGTCGAAGCCACTCTCAAAGCTCAACACGACGAATCCGACCGATGCAGCCGCCCTGGCCGTCACTAACCTCCTGCAGACCATCCACAACCAAGTGAAACCTCCCACGCAGGTAAGCTAGACACGTCGGAGGAAGCGATCGCGAGCCTCGTCGATTTTCCCAATGTGATGTAAGAAGTATTTGGTGTTTCGGTCGAAGCGGCGGGCATCTCCCTCAGTGCGGGACGAACCCCAGCAATCAACAGCAGTAGTAGCTGAAAAACTAAAAGTGCCAAACGAAGTTTTCTGGTGTATTTTTCCATTCGTTCCTTGCTTTCTTCGTTGTTCGCTTGTCTCCATCCAACAATCGGATGATACGAGCGACAACGATTGACTGTTGTAAAATGCCAGCCGAGCTATTGATGCAGCAGTCGCTGTGACTTGCTTGGCTCGTGTGTGTCTATAAATTGTGTTGTCTCTATCTTTGTCGTGGGTCGATCTGATACTGACGAGAATTGAGACTTGAGGAATGTGCTTTAGAGTGAGAGAACAAAATAAAATGCGAGACGGCACGTCGACCGAGAAAAGGCACTAGGGGAAAAAATGTGACACGTACAGCTTTCCATAATGTATGACTATACCGGCAACGTCCGTTCTCGATGCCGCGGTCGGTCGGATAAGCTACAAACTCCTTCGCGATTTTAGGCGGAGCTTCTGGCCCAGGGAAAACTGTTACCGGGATTGAGGTTTCCTGTGGCATCGCCCAACGGGAGACCGAATACCACCTGCCAGATTTGCTACAAAACATTCGCTTGCAACTCCGCGCTAGAGATCCACTACAGAAGTCATACTAAGGAGAGGCCCTTCAAGGTAGGCAGTTGGCAATCTCCGTCGGGGGATTCCCGTGGTCGGGATAGTACCCAGACACGGGACCGGTGGCGACGGAAGTCGGCCGAATCGGTACTCGTTTAGAAACAAGTCTGCGTTTTTGCAGTGCGCGATCTGCGAGCGTGGTTTCTCTACGAAAGGAAATCTGAAGCAGCACATGCTCACTCACAAGATCCGGGATCTCCCTCCCCAACTCTTCACGCAAACGAATACGTCTCCGGGAGCGATGAATCCAAATGCCAAACTGGGTACTGCCGCTCCGCAAGCTCTCCAAGTCCCGGTAAGAGTCCCGAGAGACGCCATGCAAATTGAACGACCCATGGTGGGCCTGGGTGTGGTCGTGCCGTCGAGGAGCGGCTGGAACCAGTCGGAGAAATCTCGAACTCATCGGAGCGATCTTCCGCTGTTTCAGCTCCTGCCAACGTCGCCGAACAGCGGAGCCGGCGAGAACTCCTCAGACTCATCCCGAGGAACATCACCGTCGATACAGAGTCCGCTAGGATCGACTTCGTCGACGCCGACCAGTAGACACGTCTGCAATTACTGCCAGAGACCTTTCTCCAGTTCCAGCTCTCTCCAGGTGAGTTTCGTGAGGAAAATTCCGAGGTTGAAAGCGAATCGACTCGGCTCCGATGCCATAATTCGAGTTCCGTTTGCGACACGCTCGAATTGCGTTCAAAGTCGCTGAGCTGTAAGGCAAGCGTGCGAGTGAGTGAGCGAGCGAAGCGGAGGGAGGGAGGTCAGGCATTTGGGCGGTCTGTCGGTCGGGCAGTCGGACGGACTCGAATGAGCGGGGAAGCAGCCGAGTGGGAAGCTAATTAGGGTTCATTGAGAGTGAGTTTCATTTGAAGCATTCCGCTCCAGATCCACCTTCGAACTCACACCGGAGACAAGCCGTTCCGCTGCGCCGTCTGTTCCCGCGCTTTCACCACAAAAGGCAACCTCAAGGTGCATATGGGCACTCATGTATGGAACCAGCAACAGAGCCAACAGCTGGCGCTGCTCGCACCAAATAATCAAGCGACGCCGCCCAAAAACGAAAACAAGAAGGGCAAGAAGCTCGATCCGATGGACCTCAATCAGGTGATGGCGATTTCCCGGCCGGACCTGTACTTCAATCCGTATCTGAATGCGAGCTTTTTGAATGGTAAGCGTTTTTCTTTCTTGTGCTCGATCCGGGTTCCGGACTGAGGGGGTGGCGGGTAGACGGGATCGTTGCGTCGATCGAAGCGTGCTCACGACGGCCCTTGGTGTTTCCAGCTGCTGCCGCGTCTGGAGGTTTGCCTACTCTACTTGGAGGTCACGAACCCGACAGTCCGTTATCATTGGTGAATAAAGGCGGCTCGTCCTCGGAGGCGATGAGCTCTCCGCTGTCCTTAGTGAGGCATCTTCAACAGCAAATGCAATATCCGCTCGCGAATCATTTGCACATCGGTGCGTCGTTGGACAACGGTGACTTACTCCGTCGCGAGATTTCGGCCTCTCCAGAATCCGTCTTGAGCTCCAAGTTCGAACCAGATCCTGAAGCGCTCTCTCTGGTCAAGAAAGCTGGCTCTAAACAGATGCAGGACATCAACGACAACAACGAGAGACATAAGGAACAGATTCTTCCAGTGACAGAAGTCAAGCAGGAAGTTGATGACCCGCTTACTCCCACCGAAACGCCGCAATGAATATCCGACAAGTTTTTCCTCAAAATTCTCTCTGAAACTGCGAGAGCAGCAGCAATATCAGCAACGAAGCGATCAGAGTGGGACTTCGCCGGGATTTCGCAATGCGGCATTCGTGGTACCTGCACCGGTGCCAGTCTCGGCTGCTTCGTGTAAGAGAACAACAACAACAACGAAGACTTCAACTAGGAGAAAATTCCACCGATTCAACTCGGCTTCGTGTTGTGGCTCTACAAGGGAGCTCTCATCTCAGAGCGAGCCTACCAGCCCGGCGCGAGCCCCAACGCCGACTGCGACAACAATTGCGAGTACGGAAACAACAACGACTTTTAAGAAGAATTATTCATGAAGAGTAACGGGAGGTGGTGTGCAAGTATAGCTTTCAAAATGTTCAACAGTGGAATGTAAAATCACGCCGCAACGGCGCTCACTCAACTCAAAAGTCCGAATTCGGGACTTAACATTATTTATTACTGATGACGTGTGATCGATCGACGGTCAAATGGACGGACGAACGGACAGACGAACGGACGGACTGACCGATCGATCAGATATTGTCGATCCGATGACCGATACTGACAAGGACGATAATGCTCTTCAAACTCTCTAGTGCATTCAGGGTATAGTTAGACTTTAGATTTGTTCTATTCATTGATGTATGTGCCACCCGAGCAGTAGTGCAATACCAAGGTCGAAGGAACCACGAGCATACATGACTGAATACACCATAGAAGAATAAGAGCGTGCATGCGGACAAACAAAGCAAGAACCCTATTTACGCAATGTATGGAGAAAAAGAATTCGAAGAGTCAGGCGGCTCCTTCACGACTCACACTCCGTTCAGCGAACCAGATTATTCAAGGGTGATTGAAATTATCATTATAATCATGATGATAATAATGCAGACGAACGCAGACATTGGATGTGGCGATAGCTACTTGGGATTCCGGAGGAACCGATGACGATATTTATCATTTGAATGAGCGTTTTCCTACCACTCGATAATGTAACACGGGAGCCGTTCGATGATTTGCTGAATCTCTAAATCCTTGAGAGAAACTAACGCGAACCCGCGAACTAGCGAGAGACTCGACATCTCTTTGGGAGGTAAGGGACGGATTTCCCAGAAGGTTGCAAACAAAGGAACGAACGGATTTTACGAATCGACAGCGGATCGACCAAGAAGGAAAATGAATCCACTACTGACGATGGACGTGACTGTGTGTTTGTGTGTGCGTGTCTGTCTGTCTTCTGTCTGCGTGAGCGCGCGAGTGCATGTCTATCCGTCGCTGTGACTCGGAAAGAAAGAGAGTCTGCAAACCATGCAGCCAGGAAACTTCACAAGTAAAAACCTTAGTGTGTACAGTTTAGGTACAGACGTGCGAATGAACGTTGCGGATGGATCCGATGATCGCCTGCGAATAATGGCTATCATTATCATTACTACGACAACTCTTATTATATGTCAGTTTGTATGTGATGAATTAGCCGCCTTTACGGGAGTGTCGTAACCTAGCGCTTCCGGCTGTTGCGTGCAATTGAAATCGTTCAGAGCACCTAGTGTTCTTGTCGCGGTAGTCGGTGTTGAGTAGCCGGCAAGGAACTTCGACGAGCGGAACTATTCAGGAGAAAAAGCCAACCAACGTAACGAACGGATTCATCGGCGTCGTCCCGTGCTGAGTTATCATATCACATTCCGGGAGGATCGGTGCGAGGATAGACGACGGTGTCCGTTTTAAAAAATCATACTCAAGCAGCAGAAATTTGTGTGCGTCTCTCGATACGAACAAACCTCAAATGCATCCGCAAGAGAGAGCAAGGATGCGAATCACATCGATAGAAACACAGAAAAGCAAGAGATTTGCACCAGCTGAAGAAACGGGAGCTCCATCCTTTGTCCGAGACGACCTCTTCGAATTCCGAACGGAAGTATGGAAACGAAAACATAGGGTTCCGCGAAGAGGACGCCTCGAGACATTGCTGGTCACAGTCTAAAAACGAAACACACCCGGAAGCCGCGATTTTTGAATTCTTGCAGCTGCACTCCGATGATCAATTATATGTCCTCCTCCCCCAGCATAGATCTCTCCCCTAAACAGTTGTACTGCAACTCACACTGATATAAAATATTATTATAATTATTATTGCATATATAAGTAGATCTAGACAAAGAGGTGACATCCCCCTTTTCCCAAAGATGAAGGCGGCGACGACGACGGATCAGGTCATCGAGGGCGATTAGCTCTGCTGAGAATAATAATAATAATAAAAATATTAATAACAATTATTACGTCACTAATGAGTAATAGACGACGACGATGATGATGATCCAGATTCGGGAGATCAAGATGGAGCGCTGATGAAAATCGCGAGCTCAGAGGAGTTATATTTCGGTTTCGAAACAGGAGAAAACTTGCGACCACCATTACCACTCCAGAAACTCCTAGCTAACAGACGCCTTTCGAAGCTATCGCCCGCGCCGTGGCGACCACTGATCAAACGATGGTCGGTGGTAGGAATCCTAGGATCCCTCAGCTGATGGACGTGATCGTTTAAAGTGGATGATGGTGTCATACGACAGAACAGCGAACCAAGCGTGTTTGATCGTGTCGAGTAGGTGATGCGACGATTTGTTGCCCTTGAGCGTGACAGTCTTCTAGGCGACATGGCTGCCAGGTGTATTCTTAGCTCGAATTGAGAGCAACCCATGACAAATTCCAGTTCCCTTGTGGGGGTCAGGAGTTATTTTTAATACATCGAAATCCCCCGCGTGTAGGAGCTTTTCCACAGTCCGAGCGGTCCTCTCATTTCGTTCGTATCAGTCTCTCTCTGGCGGCTTCAATCAATGTCTCTCGCAACACTCCCCCTATCCCCTCCTCCTCGCCCGACGATGCGAGCTTGCCCGTTCCCCGTCATGCTCTGGAGGATTGTCTCCCTATTTTCCCAATTTTTCGGAGACGTTCGGGCGAAGCGCATCTTCAGACTTGAAGGCGATCGGCTTCCCCGAATCGCTCACAGTCGTCAGTAACTCCGAGGAGTTCGATATATATCATTTTCTATTGGATGATCGTTGAATGCTGCTCCCCACGGATACGATGGACTTCGCGAATCCCTGAAGAAGCACTCAGAACATGACAGCGAAGAAGACACCATCCTTAATTTCGAGGACTCCCTCAATCAATTCGGAAAACTATGAGAACGAAAATACAATTCCTCCTCGGGTCACTGATAAGGCTGACACCCACCGCCGCTGTCCAAGATTGTAGTTCATAGAAGAACGCTGGAGTCAAAGGATAGATTAAAACGTACGAACGAGGAGGAATGAATAACAATTATTATGTGGCATACGATGGAGACTGAAATGACAAGGAAGACGAGGGAGGATAACAACCTAGGAGTGTTAGTATTGGTGATACCCCGCGATGACGATGATGATGTCAGGCGGAACAGCTCGCTGTGTATGGAGACCCCGTTTTTGGTAATGGTGGTCGGTTCCCGTGAAAAGCTGAAATGCAAAAAAACAGCCTTCTCTGGGGTACTTTCGTGATCAAGCACGAAAAAATCTACACCACAAATAAATTCAATGCAATTATGAGCCAAACATGCAAGGTGTCCTCTTTCTTCGCTCGAATTCCTCTCTCCCAGGGATACTGCGAACTCTTCTCTGTGGAGTCGATGTATGTAGAGTAAAGATCCTAGTTCCGAACCAACATATGCTCCTCTGGAGCCCCCAAGTGGCATTTCGCGTTTTCCTCAATCCAGCAGCAGCAGCTCCTTGCAACCTTTCACCGCTCCTTGTCCCGTTATAGAGTAGCGTCAGTTTCGCATACTAATCCATTTTTCAAGTGGCAACTCGCATCCACAAGCGTGGGAACTCGAGCAAGCGAGCTCGGGGCACTCAAATGAATTATATTCGGATTTTGCACTTCCCACTCTCGTTTCGCTCTCTTTCCTACACTCATCCATATCGCTTCGATCCCGCTCAGTCTGGCCCTGGAGAGAATATTTTTCGCGGGGAAGGGGGTGCTGAATGTTTCTCGCCTTGAAGAGTCGACGATTTGAGCCATAATTTACTTGATCTCCAAATTGAATTAGGTTCGAATCATAAAATTTCCTCGCGGCATGCTCGCTCGTGGGCCAAAGCAGCCACCGCCTCCCCTCATGTTCGTCAAGTGGCTCCCGTTCGCAACTCGAATGACCTCATAAAATATCCTTACCTCGTTTCCTCGTTGCTAGATATCAAGCCAATTTCTGAACTAGAGTGGTAAGCTTTGCGTACGTGAGTGAGAAAGTATTCCCTCCCTTCCTGTCGTATAGCCGACTATCGAACTGGCACTCGGCCTCGGGTCGCTAACTCTAAAACCTACACCGTTTCCCTCCGGGCTCGAACAATATCTCGCTCTTTCAAGATTGAACATCGTACGACTGGAATGGATAATCTAATAAGTGTCCGCGGTCGAGCATGGCCGTCACATGCGAGATGTTTGAGCGCGGAAGTGTTCTGACTAAGACGTGGAGTCAGAGCGTCTGTGGCATCGCGTTTTTATTTCAGAACCATAGAGATCAGAAGTCAGATCATAGGCCCTGTTCCTCTCGACGGAAGCGATTTCCCTCCCTAATCCTTCGATTTGAAGTTCCGTGTTTGGACTTGAAGAGCCATCCCCGTAGAGGCAACCTGTCGTTAAATCTCGTGCATTTCGGACTCGAAAGAGCTCACCATGCCACTCGCGACCCGCGATGTGGCAAGAGGCAAGGGAAAAGGATGGGCATAAAGTAGTGTTGGCAAGTTGCCCCGTTTCAAGTTGTCACACAGGTAGGTAGATGGTGGGCTGCTGTCACGGTGGCAGCGACTTTGGAGGAAAGAGCGGGAGAGGGCGACACAAGACGACGACAAGAGAGGAAAAGAAGACGAAAAGCTGCAGCAACTACCTCAGAGCTAACCCGCTACCAACTGTGCATAAGGGGTCTATGAGCTGCTTCATGTTGTTCGCCTTCGCGAGCGA